GACACTCAAAAACTGAATTCTGAAAGTTAAAACTTCAAAAGACGAGAAATGGAATTAGTTACGCCTTTTTTGATTGATCTATCACTGAGAACCCTACCAAGTGTATAGGAGAAGAGTATTTTTTCAGTCACGAGAAAAGAAAAGGAGTTATAAAATATCCGCAGTACTAGTAGACGTTAGTTATACGTGTTTAGAAAATAAAGTTGGGAAATTCTGTCCTTTAGATGAATTAAATGTACGCTATACCATTCATTAGAGAAAACGCATTGATAAAAGTGATAGGAGCGGAGAACGTTAGCACAATATAGAATTGTTGTAGTAATTTGTTGAACCAATTCTTGATTTCGTAATGCTGTGAAGGTTAGTAGAAGAAATTTTAAAAGTTTACTATAAAATAAATCATACATCCATGGTTATTCTGCCTCTTCCAATTATTTAGCATGAATGGCCACTGACATTGCAAACTTTCTATTGATACCGTATTTTAAATCACCGTGACCTATGGTAAACTTATTGCAAAAAACCATCTGGTACTATTGAATTCTTAATTTAGATGGATGATCGACTGTCCTACTTTCTGCAGTAATTTGCTCACTTCTGCCTCATTCAAATTCATTTCTTCTCATCCATCGATTCAACGGCGATTTCGCAAAGAGGACGGTAAGATCCTTCCCAAGGTCTTTACACTTTTTATTATCAATAATAGTTAGCAGAAAATGTAAGATTAAACATATATTGTTTAAACTCGAAATCAAGATTTTCTTTGAAGTTGAGACCTCTTATCGCACAGCTGGCAGCAGTTATGGGAAATAGTACTCAATGAAAAATTAAAGGTTTTTCTCACTTACTTATAAACTTTTAAAATTTAATAAAATTAAATAAATTCTTATCCCAACCTCGTGAATTCAAAAAAAAGACAGAAAATTAATAGACCACTTCATTCTAGGTTCATTAACTCAAATTTTAAGTGGTATTAGAAAGTAATGAACATGTAATTAAAAGAATAATCAAAAGATGGATATGAATGGAATTTTCCTCGGAGGAAAGGGGAAGGCAGTTTTTGTCACCACAAGTTTGAGTTGGCAGTTAGTTTGACAGCTACATAATGGCTATGAGTAAGACCAAGGGATAGAATTTAATTTTATAGAGCTTGCTTGATTGATTACAGATGATGACTTCGTAATCGATGATGTCGTAGTGGCTGCAAGAGGAATTGCTCAACAAAAAATGCCTAGAGTTGAGACTGATCTGAATGCATATGAAAACCCAGTGCCTTTTGAGCATTTTGTTGAGGTTGGTACTTTTTGTTTATTTATTTATACCATATAATATGCATTTCTTCTCCTGCTTAATTCTGTCTACTACTTCAATAATTTGATCAGTTAATCAGTTTGTATTTATCATAGTTTAGTGCTTATTTATTTACTTATTTACCTAAGTACGTGATTATCTTATAACATTAGTGTCTCAAGTGTCGTAAAAAAAATTGCGCCTTTATGTTGCAATCTTGCATGTTTGTTCTATTCTATAGCACACATAGTGAGATTGCACTCTGCACAAGTCTAAGACAGAGTTCACCTTGGTAACGAAATAAACAAAGTGGCTAATTCGACAAATATGAACCTTCCGATGTTATGTGCTCTGCGCAACTTCCAATATGCACACTATCTATTTAAGCATAACATTTGACAAATGTTTGCTTTGAGTGCCAAGAGATATTGACTTTTTTCCTTCTTCTTATTTTAGTTTTTTCACCCATTTCCATTTTCCTAACCCGTTATATTTTTCAGACTCAGATGCTAGCCTTTTCGCATTCCGCCCAAAATTTTTCTCTTTCGCAATTAGTTGTTACTAATATTCCGCTTTCAGCCCGAAGCGATCACTCCGCAATCGCTTCCTTCGCGTCCGCCACTTGGTCGCATGCGCTCTTACAGTATTGATGTATCGTATAAATAAGCGTAAGAAATTGTTTGAAGGAAAGTTAGTGTAAAAAACATCTGTTTGAAGATATTTA